CACGGTTGGTCTCCATCCTCGGCTACCTTATTTCGCGAATGGGGTATTTTATTTCGCGAAAAGAGAGATCTTGCCGGCCGGAGAACAGGTGCGGTGGCCAATGGATGCAGCGACAGGCGGCCTTATCGCCCTCGGTTTCTCTGTGCCCGATCACGCTGTCCCCTCGCCTGTCCCGGCCGGGGAGGCTTAGCCCAGAAGCAAGATCAGACGGGGGCGGAAAAGATGGTAGTTTCACGAATAAACTAGAAGCCGGTCCCGGTTTGCGCAGTGAAAACGATGATCACTCGGTGCATTCTGCTGATGATGCAAGACCATATGGCTGGCCCTACAGCTACAAGGCCGCGACCCCGGTTGCTGGTGACATTGTTGCGTGCACGGCTCAGCGCGCGCACAAGCACTCACGGGTTAACGTCAGTGACCGTGGCAGGGACCGGGAGCAGGCACGGGGGGCCGAAGCTTCTTTCAGGATGGCGAGAGCCGGCGGCGACCTTTCCAGCCGCAAAACGTCGCCGCCGGCTGGCGGCAGCGCGCGGCGTGTCAAACGCCTGGGCCCGATGAGCGCACGGTTTTGTGTATTTTACTGCGATGTGTTTACTGAGGAGATAATGTAGTCTACCTGAGTTCACCAATGGAGGTCAGGTTTCTTGGTCCAGAATGAACAGTCTGTGGATTATGGTAAGCCTGGCGTCGGTGTCATGCGCACGCTCACAGCCAGATTAGGAGTAGACCACGTTATTTTTGGAATATTTTGGCGATTGAGTTGAATAGCCCAACATTTCAGTTGGGGCACGTTTGAAGAAAAAACAAATCAGTTAGAGATCGTGCCTGCAGGATTGCAGGAAGCCCTCTCGTGGGTTCAGACATCGAAAGGTCATGCGGTGGAAGGGGTTAGGATTTGATTTCTTTTCTCCCCCGGACTGGCTACGATTTCACTGGATCCTGTTTGGAGAAAACGAGAAGCGGAGAAGGTGATGCCTGTACCGTACGTGCTGCTGTCTGGTCCATGGCGTGGTTGGGAGTGTTGCACGTGGACGTTGTGCACCCACCATGTGACCATGTCTGCACGGTGCGTGGCTTGGTTTGTGAATCATGTGACTGCGTCGTCCATGACTCCCTCCTGACTTCTGTGGTACCTGCCACGTGAACAAGCAGTGCTCCTATGTGTATCATCTGGTTTGAGCTAGTGATTTTCCGACAAACAAGGTACTACGACGCAATGATGCATGTACTGGTTCGTTCAAAGAAAAAATGCATGTACCGAGACTGTCACAGCTCACACGTGCTACGCAATGTACTACCGCTGCTGATGCAACCCAACCATGCCAAACTCGACATGATGACACTTTTCCCGAATCCTGCCTGACTCGGCCACATTCACAGCTCAGGAAGACTTCACTAACGCGCCATGATTAGCAGCGTCTCAGTCTTGGAGATTTCTCGTTTTCTCAGCAAACAAAAGGAGAAGGAAAAAAAAAATCTCGAGCAGAAATCAAAAGATACTTTGGCGAGGAGGCGGAGAAGATGTCTGGCTCGAAGCCGGCCGTCGTCGTCGCCGCATTTCCTCCTCCCCCCCCCCCCCACCCCCAATAATAATTCGCAATAATTCCTGCTGCTCCAGAGGACCATTTCGCGACGGCGGCGGCGCGATACGTCCATCTCGTCGCATTGAACGCGCAGTTGGGTCTCGTTCTCGTCTCCCCTCGCTGCAGCAGCCAGCGTCAGGTCCACGACGGAACGCCGCCGTGCAGGCATGCTAGCTCAGTGCAGTGTCAAACCTGCCCGGCTGCCCCTTGGGATGCAGAGTAAATGCGGTTCTCTGTGTGCCGACTAGGAGAGAGCTGCTGCATCGGACCTGCGATACTTTTTTTCTTCAACCTGCAGGAATTTCTGTATCGCCTTTGCGTGGCTGGGAAGATGGAGATCGCCGGAGGGCGCAGTCCCGTGGATTTTTCTCGGAGCTACAGTCTCCAGCCGAAGAAACAGCGGCTCGCGCAGGCGCAGCTCATCTGAAAAGGAAACGGAAAGAAATAGCAGGCCAGTTTAGTTATGGGCTGAAACACGGGCTCGCCTACATCAATGCATGGGCTGGGCTACAGCAGACAGTTCAGATGCCCACAAGAGATCACGCACGGAGTCGTGTAGACAAATCCAGCACAGCAGCATCACTACTCCACAAGCACAACACAGGAGTTGAAGCAGGAGCGTATCCTGGATGGTGTAATCGAACAGGGATCGAGAGCCCTCATGCCTGTAATCGAGTAAGACTCGTAACAATTTGCATTGCCAGCACGCAGGCAGAGCTCAAGGTGCAGGGTGCACATGCACTCCCAGTCTCCCACAGTCGGCAAGTGTCCACCCAGCCTGAGGCACCTTGCCATCAAACATGGAGCACTGCTTTTCAATCTTACATACAATCAGCAAGATTGCACCAATTGTTGAGCTGCTTGCCATCTAATCCAACAAGACCCTCTGCTGGTCTCGTGTATCTTTGCCTTGCTCCACCTGAGGTTGAGGGTATAATGGACAGTATTGCCAGTGAACATCTTCACCAAAACCTGCATCTGCAGAGCGTCAAGGTGCAGGCTGGACTCTTTTTGGATGGAGACATCGTAGTCTGCGAGCGTCCGCCGATCCACAAGCTGCTGATGGTCACGAATTCTCATGCATCAGCCACATATATTCTTTGCTCAGGACGACTTGACTAACGCCACCAAAAAAGATGAACAAGATTTCAGTATTTTTTCAGGCCAACCTCCGCTAAGGAAAAAAAAACTCAAGCGGAAACCAAAGAAAAGATATTTTGTAAGAAGCACGAGAAGGCGCACGTCGCGGTTCCAGGCCGGCCGTCGTGGTCACCGCCTCACCGCAGTTCGTCAGCGCGGCGGTGTGTTGAGGGTCGCGCTTCGTTTCCCTTCCCCCTCGCCGCCGCATCAGGTCCACGGGCAAGCGCCGCCGTGCCGGTGTGGACGTGTGAGTAAATGTGTTTCGCTGTACAATTCTACGATTTCGTGCCTTCCGTTCCGACGGCCCAATACTTTTTCAAAGTGGAATGTGAGAAAAATAACCTGCTTCTACGTTTAAAAAAAAATTGAACTGGTTCTTATAAAATTCATGCATGTTTCTGCATTCAAAACAGGTCCTGAGCCTGTGATGTCTTGCTGGAGCCTAGAGCACGGAAGATGCAGGATTTTTCTTTTCTAGTGGAGAGGATCCAGTGCAAGGGACCTAGTGTGGTTTGTCGTTTCTTATTTGTTTCTAGGTTGATCCCTCTTTTGTTTCATGTTGCAAGTCTGGAGAGGTTGCTTTGGATGGAGTGTCTATCTGTGAATGGCAACCAAACAGGGCCGAACATGACCCCCTTTTGGTTCCCCATTCTTGCTCACAGTCGTCACAGCCGCGTCCACGTCGAGGTGTGGGACTGGGACTGTGCGATCGAGGCGAGGAGCTGAGGTGTTATACAATCTAGATAACCTGGATAGAATGGAGACGGGAATAGCAAAAAGACAGAGACATGAATTTGGGGAAGAACACGGTTGGCCCCGTGAGGTTTTGGATTCAGTTGGGGAGATTACAAACAACCGTCTTCTTCAAAAACTGTTCGGCTGATGATTTTTACCGTTGATAAACCGACTGAAACTGATTTGTTGTGAGAGAAAAACACAATTCCATGACTTATAAGTCAGGCTGATAAGTTCGAGCGAAGGGCCCAACACACACGACATAACGGCCCATGACTCTATCCCCGGCAGCCCACCACCAGGTTCTATAACATGAGGACTGGTGGGCTGGAGCCTGGAGGGCGTGACAGCGCCCGTCTGCGTTGACTCCGGTCTGCGGTTCCGCTTGTTGGAAAACAATAACCCTAAGATAATTATGGGCTCATACCAAATATACTCCGAAGGGTTAAGATTATATAAAGGAACCTGTACCCATTTATAATGAAGAAGAAATAAGAGTTCCACGATATTTGCTCTCCTGTGTGTTCATCTGGTGTGCTGTTGGGAAGGGATACGGGAAATCATCTACAACTTCCTCACGTCTCATCTGCTGCGTGGAGGGAAGAGAACCGGATCAGGGATCCGCAACACCTCTGTTACTTAACATGTTATCAGCAGGCTCTGTCGCTACTCATCAACGACGGTGTGCTGTTTTTGATCCTGTTGGATCCATCCGCTCACAGATTCGTTCATGTTTTCAATCTAGATCGGTTTCATGTATACAACTAGCATGCTAGATACGTAGCAGATCATTTTTCTCTGGCTAGTTTACTTGTTCTAGATTGATCTTTACCGTTTATCTCACGTAATTCCCCTTGCCGTTGCTCTGATGGCAGCACCACGTGAGCACTAGTATGCTAGATTAATAGATTTGTTTTTACTAGCTACTAGATTATTTGATTATGACATCTCGAACAACACAATCTTGTATATTTGTTCGGGTAGCAGCCTAGACGCGTTTTAGATTTTTTTAGTATAACAGATCCAATCTTTGGATACTAAATTTTTTTAAGAACCCCGGTAGATTGGTTTTATTTATTGCTAGTTTGTGTAATAGATTGATCTTGTTTTTACCGATGATATTTTTTTATCTTCGGCCACCCCATCATGCTGTGCATGTACGCCGGTGTGTACTACTATGCCATCCATGGACATTGGACATGCCATGCATGCGCGCTAGTTTATTTCAATTGTTTTCATGTTGCACCGCCGGCCAACCCAACGCATTTGACGCGTAAGCCAGCAAACTTCCACGCATTGTGCTGCCTGAAGTTGCGCATTACTTATGCATGCATCGTGGCCCTGCTGGCTACTGAAACTTGCGACACCATCATGGCCCTGATGGCTATCTTGCGATGTCGGCGGCTGCAGACCACTGCTGTATGCCTTGCGTGTATATATTTTTATGTCACTTTTCTTTTGCGTTGATAATAATTCATTCATGGCTATACATACTACTTCATGCTTATTTACCGAAAGTTAATTTGCATGAATTAATAGGCAATGGCTTCGATCAACAAGACGGAGTTCAAGGTTCTTGAGCTGAACGGCAAGAACTATCAAACCTGGGCACTCGACTGTGAGTTCCATCTGCAGGCGATGCAGCTGACTCCCATGATCGCCAGGCCTGCAGCCGGTGTTCCTGCTCCGCCACCCCATGACAAGGCAAAAGCTTGCATCGTCCTGAGGCATCATATTCATCCTGACCCGAAGATGGACTACCCGAAGGTGAAAGACCCTCTGGTACTATGGGTGAAGCTTCAGGAACGCTTTGGCAAGCAGAAGGCAGTGCTTCTCCCACTGGCCAGGCGTGATTGGGCACAACTCCGCTTCCTCGACTTCAAGACAGTTGAGGCATATAATACTACGATTCACCATATCGTGGCTCAGCTTCGCTTTTGTGACCAGGTCGTCACTGAACTTGATATGATTGAGAAAACTCTCGAGACTTTCCACCCCACCAACATGGTACTCCAGCAGCAGTACCGTAACAACAAGTACATGAAGTACTGTGATCTCATCAATGTGCTGCTTGCCGTTGAGGCTCAGAATGAACTCTTGATGAAGAACTTCCACATGCGCCCTGTTGGGACACAGGCACATCCTGAAGCACATGCCAGTTTCCGTAACAGTAACGGTAAAGGTTCTTTCAGAAACAAGGGCCAAAAGTTTCATGGTCACTAGAGGCAAAAAAAGAGAGAGGAAAGTTTAAGAACAGAGGCCAGAAGTCCAATTGCAATGGCAAAGGCCAGAAGTTCAATGGCAATGGCAAAGGCAGGTCCCTGAAGGGCTCAAAGGACGAGGTAAGTGGAGGGAAACACTCAAATGAGGGTTGTTTCCGCTGTGGATCCCACCAGCATTGGTCCCGTACTTGCACTACCGACCCACACTTGATTGAGCTATATCAAGAGTGGAAGAAGCGCCAAAACCCGGAGGTACACTTCGTCCAGGCATCTGTCGTTGTTGTGACTGGACTACACCTCCTGAAGCCATCAGAGCCTACAGAGAAGCTTGAATCAGCAACTATGGATGTTGATCATAATGCCACCGGTGATCGTACTGCTGAAAAGGGAGATGCCTATACTGGTGATGATGATTTTGACCTCGACAACGAGGATCTCCTGGACGAGGACTAGACCAAGTTATCAGCCATTTATTTATTTGTTAGCCAGTGTGATTTATTTTCAGCAAAACAATTAAAGTCCCGTGTGATGTAATAATGCTCCCGTTGAGCAACTTCATTATTCTGTTAGGATAAACTCTCAGCATGAATAGTTTGGTTCATAGCATTATTTTAATCAATTTATAGTGCTCCCATTGAGCAACTTTATTATTTTTGTTAGCATTAACTCTCGACATGAATGTCTTGGTGCATAGCATTATTTTAATCAGTTTATCCCTTGTTCGGTTACTTGCTATCTTATAATCGGCTTGCTATATTGATTATACATGACGGATTAAATTAGTACTATATTTAATAGAACAAGAGTTGTACTTTCCATGGAGGCTGAAGAAGAATTTTGCCTAGCGCTGCCACAAATACAATACTTCGAGAGACAAAATATTTTTAGACACAGCAGAAAAAGACTGAAAATATTACCACGATTGTTGGTCGCAACGGCCATATTGGAGGCTCCGATCGAGCCATGGTCGTACTCCCTAATAATACCAGCATCTTCATAGAAGAAGCATTTTTGTACCCGAAAGCTGTACGTACTCTCCTCACATTCAAAGATATACGCTGTAGTGGCTACCACGTTACAACTGCTTGTGAAAATGGTGCTGAATACCTCTATATCACGACAGCAGACGAATGTGGGATAAAAGTGGAAGAAAAAGCGTCGGGAACCTCCTCTGGAATTTACTACACAAAAATTAAGCCACCTCAAGAATACGTTGCGATGTCTACTATATTTAAAAATCCTGAGTCTTTTACGATCTGGCATGAAAGACTCGGACACCCTGGATTAAGGATGATGCGGAACATCATAAAAGGATCTGCTGGTCATGGCATTAAAACCACACAAATTCCTAAAGACTTTCTATGCGTGTCTTGCGCTAAAGAAAAATTAATAACTAAACCCTCTTACCTAAAGTTAAATGTCGATTCCCTAGGTTTTATGGAGAGAATCCAAGGTGACATTTGTGGTCCTATTCACCCCCTGTCGAGGCCTTTTAGATACTTTATGGTGCTTATAGATGCTTCTACTCGGTGGAGACACGTATGCCTGTTGTCTACGCGGAACCATGCTTTTACAAAACTTATTGCCCAAATCATTCGATTTCGTGCTTGCTTCTCGGAGAACCGCATAAAAGCAATCAGGATGGATAATGCTAGAGAGTTCACCTCAAAAGCATTTAATGATTATTATCTTGCTTTAGGCATAAATGTAGAGCATTCTGTGCCTCATGTGCACACACAAAACGGGCTTGCTGAATCTTTAATAAAAAAATAAAATTAATTGCCAGACCGCTTCTACAAGATAGCAGACTTCCAACCAGTTGTTGGGGACATACAGTGCTGCACGCTGTTGCCTTAATCCAGTATAGGCCATCTGCATCTCGCTCTGCTTCCCCCACCAGTTAGCGCGTGGACAACAACCAATGATTTCCCATCTGCGAAAATTCGGTTGTGCTGTATATGTGCTGATATCACCACCCCAGCGTACAACTATGGGACCTCATCGGAAGTTGAGGATATATATAGGTTATGACTCTCCGTCCATAATCAAATATTTGGAGCCTAAAATCAGAGATATGTTTGATAGCATCTTCGATGAAGAGCATTTCCAGGCATTAGGGGGAGGATTGTACCTTAATAATAAAGAATGCCGAGAAATAGATTGGACTGCCAGCAGCATTCAATTGCTTGATCCACGCACTAAAGATACTGAACTTGAAGTTCAAAGAATAATAAACCTGCAACAATTAGCGAATAATCTGCCAGACGTGTTTACTGATATAAGAGGAGTGTCAAAATCGTATGTTCCTACGGCTAATGCACCGGAGAGAGTGGAGATACTCCTGGAGGGCATGAACTCTACCCAAATCCCCAATCCTAGGAAAAGGGGGAGAGATCCGAATGACTCGGCACAAGCCAAGTGGGGAGCGCACAAAGGCAAGTTGTTAGAGAGAACACATTACGCTCCCATTCAGTCGTCCCAGCAGTGACCTCAAGGTGAAAGTCCTAGTGCAAATGTACGCACAAATACAAATAATAGGACAAGGACAATTGAACAAACAGGCTCGAGTAATTTTGGAAATCATGACGAGCTGGATGATTCAATTGAAGAAATTGCCATAAATTATGCTGAATCTAGAGAACTATATAACAGAAAGAATACAGATGTCGACATTAATTTCGTCTCTAAGATCGCGGAAGCGATTAATGAGGATCCTGAACCAAAGTCCATGGCAGAGTGCCGGAAGCGCTCAGATTGGGTCAAATAGAAAGAAGCAATAGAGACAGAATTACGCTCGCTTTCTAAGAGGCAAGTATTTGGGCCTGTCGCCCGCACGCCCCCCAAAGTATTCCCTGTAGGATACAAATGGGTGTTTGTTCGAAAGAGAGATGAGAACAATGTGGTGGTGAGATACAAAACGAGGCTCGTAGCATAAGGGTTCACGCAGAGACCCGACATAGATTGTGATGAAACATATTCTCCAGTTATGAGTGGCATAACGTTCCGATATTTAATATCTATGGTAGCAGGCTTAAACTTGAAAATGCAGATGATGGATGGATGACAAGTTTCGCTAGATGGTACTATATATATATATATATATATATATATATATATATATATATATATATATATATATATATATGTTAAGATGGACTAAAAAGGGGATTCTAAAAACAACGGCAACATGTATAAAGGGCATTGCACGGTCCGGATCTGGTGGATGTGGTATAATCGGCTAAGTGACTTCCTCCCAAAGAAGGGATATGTTAATGATACTGATTCTCCCTGTGTATTTATTAGAAAATCCCAGAAGGGTCTTTGTATTATTTCAGTCTATGTTGATGACTTAAATATCATATGCTGTAAAGAAGACATTGAGGAAGCAAGCACCTACCTCAAGGCGGAGTTTGAAATGAAAGACTTGGGTAGAACCAAGTTTTGTTTGGGCCTGCAGATCGAGCATCTCCCTAGAGGAATTTTTATACACCAATCTACCTATATGAAAAAGGTTTTAGAAAGATTTAATATGTCAAAGGCTCATCCTGTGAAAACCTTGATGGTTGTGAGGTCACTTGAGGAGGACAAAGACCCATTTAGACCAAGAAGTGATGACGAGAAGCCTTTAGGACCCGAAGTTCCCTATTTGAGCGCTATTGGAGCACTGATGTACCTTGTGAACTGCACTAGGCCTGATATTGCATTTGCAGTGAATTTGCTAGCTCGTCACAGTGCGAACCCAACCAGAAGACATTGGGTAGGCGTTACTTAGATACCTGAATGGCACCCAAGATCTTGTCTTGTATTTTCCGAAGAATCAGGATCTAAGATTGGTTGGCTATGCAGATGCTGGATATCTATCTGATCCGCATAATGCAAGATCTCAAACTGGTTTCGTATTTCTTTGTGGTGGTACTGCTATATCCTGGACATCTTGCAAACAAACCTTGGTAGCAACATCAACAAACCATTCTGAGATTATTGCGCTATATGAAGCCGCACGTGAATGTGCTTGGCTACGACGGATGACGAACAATATCCAGAAGTTATGTGGTCTTAGTACCGTGGATACCCTCACCATTATCTATGAGAATAATGCAGCATGTGTTGCACAAATGCAACGGGCTATATTAAGAATAATATGACTAAGCATATATCTCCTAAATTTTTCTATACTCACGAACTCCAGAAGCAGGGTGAGGTAAATATCTTGAAAGTCCAGTCATGTAACAATATAGCAGATTTATTCACTAAGTCTTTACCAGCTACTACATTCAAAAAATGTATCCATAATATTGGTATAAGACGACTGAGAGACCTGCAAAGTTCAGGGAGAGATCGCCCCTGAATTGCCCTTATTACTAGGTCCAGAAGATCCTGAAATTTATATTCCGGAAGATTATAAAATGTCCTGAAGATAACCATTGTACTCTTTTTCCCATAAATGAGTTTTCCAGAAGTTTCTCGTAATGGTTTGTAATGAGGCAACAAGTGCAATACATCTAGCGGCACTATGTACTCTTTCTCTATATTTTTCCACTGGGTTTTTAGGAGTTTTAATGAGGCATGAGTTGATCGTGGTATTCATCCAAGGGGGAGTGTTGGGAAACAATAACCCTAAAATAATTATGGGCTCATACCAAATATACCCCCGAAGGATTAAGACTATATAAAGGAACTTGTACCCATCTATAATGAAGAAGAGATAAGAGTTCCACGATATTTGCTCTCATGTGTGTTCATCTGGTGTGTTGTTGGGAAGGGATACAGAAATCATCTACAACTTCCTCACGTCTCATCTGCTATGGGGAGGGAAGGGAACCGGATCATGGATCCGCAACACCGCTGTTACTTAACACCGCTATCTCGTCTGGTTTCCTTCTTGGTTGGTTCCCCATTCTTGTTCACCGGTGTTGCGTTATCTCGCCTTCACTTCCTACCTAAAACCGGTTGCCTTCGCTATAGATGGCCAACGGGCCGGCCTGGCCCGGCCCGGCATGGCACAGGCCCGTGAAAGCACAACCCGATGGGGGTCGGGCCGGCACGGCACGCCGGGCCTCTCGGGCCATGCCTCTTAGGGCCACGGGCCTGGCCTTCGGCCCAGGCACGGCACTATGGGCCATTTTCGTGCCGTGCCGGCCCGCGAAGCACGACCAGAATTACGTGCCGTGCCAGCCCATGACTCGTTACCCTTGCATTCACAAAATCAAACAGAATCAATGTCGAAATGTCCAATACATTCACATATCACAGTTTCATACATTCACAGAATCAAAGTCCAAATGTCCGATACATTCACAGTCCAACAGAGATGTCAAACTCCAAACTCCAAAGCCAACAGATAACAGAAATAACCAAAATGAGCTATTTAGTGCAATGCTGTCTCATTAAAAACCTTTCTAGGTAAAACTCACCCTTGTGAGAAACCCTAGAAAGAAAAAAAGAGTGCAGCC